TATTATGTATATAGCGGCTAAACGTTTACCAACTTGAGTGTGTTGATTTAGTAATAATTTAATAAGCTAAGTTGGTGGCAATCATTGTTAACTTAGTTGGACTAAACTAGAAATAATAGTATTATGGAGTTGAAGTTGATTTTGGTAGTGATGAGTTCAAGTGTTCAACAATGTCCACCCCGAAATAAGTAATTGAATTTGGACTATGATTTATGAACAAAAAAGAAATCAAGTTAGTTATAATTAAAAGAGACAAAATATTGAATTGTGAAATGATTTAGTATGAACATGACTGCTGACTTTGTAGATGGATAGTGATATTCACATTTCTATTTTTATCTCCTACACATTCTTATTACTTTTTTGTTATTGATCTTCTTCAATTTATTTGATCCGGAAACCGAAAATTGAGAGAAATATAAGAAGTAAAAATGAGTATGTAAATAACACTAACTTTCTAGGTATACTTTGGAATATAGATGGTCAAGTCAACCACCAATGACCAAATGAGTACATATCTCACTACTACCATATATATATATATAACACAAACGATATTTTTTCTCTAAATTATAATGAGATAAAAAAAAGTTTAAACTCGACACACAATGAATTTATAAAAATAAGCTAAAACAATCCGCTACTTGCATAAATAATAGTTCGCACACATTTAGGACAAAATTAATGAAATTTGGGTAGCTAATAGTTCATTGTTGTCGTGCATTTTGATAAAAATGATAGTGCTATTCAGACACTTATTTTTACCTCCCACATACTTTTGATAATCTTCTGCAATTCATCTTCTTCAATTTATTCGCTTTAACTACTGAAATTTAAGATAAATATGTAAAAAATAAACATATGCATGTGGATAGCACCACACATATATGAAATGCTAAACATTACAAAATTTGGGGATGATGAAAGATTGGGTAAAAGTACACCAACCACTAAATTATATTGTATAGTTTATGCAACCCTTGTTGACTCCAATAATTCAAATGTCGTTTGTCCCTTTTCTGCAACTTTTACTTCAGCCAGCACTGATGTGCTGCCTTTTTATTTTTTTAATTTCACATTTATGTCGTTGAAAGTATGGCTGATCTAAGCCAAAAAAAAATGCCACTTGGTCCACTCCACACATTACGCTTGTATGCTATACATTTCTCTAACTTATGGAGCGTAGCCAATGGTTCAAAATATCTAGTCGAAGCTGATATTGACATTTTAAAATTATCGTCATACATTTTTGCATGTGTATATTTTCTCTTGTGCTTTTACAAGCATTAAGTGTTGCATCATGAAAATTTTGAATTGTCGATAAAATTCTTTAAAAGTAAAAATAAAAAATCTTCTTTTCGCTCATATTATTAATCTAATATGTCGCGTTATCGTTATTCAGTAGTACGATCTGGTGATATTTCTCTTCACTTGAAAGTGAGAGGTCTTAGATTTGAATCTCGTGGATGACGAATTCGATATCAAATTAGGTTGTCCATTGTGTGGCTTAGCCGAACTCCCATTTTCCCTATTGTAAAAATATCAATGTATTAAAAAAAAAAGATAACCAAATCATATCTTTGAAGCTTTCCCTATTATAAAAATATCAACGTACTAAAAAAAAAAAGAAACAAAAAAAACAGATAACCATATCATATCTTTGAAGCTTTCCTTATTGAAGGCTAACGTAACTAAGCAAGAAATCACCCTCAAATCCCATCAAGAATTGATAATTCAAAGATATTATTAATTAAATAATATCTTCGGGGTTATTTCTTAAGTATATTCAACGGACGACACACCTTAGCCAACTAAACGTCGACGCATTACATGGCAATCCCTACAAAGAAGTTCTTGTATTTCATATTTCTAAAATTTAAAAAATTAAAAATTAAACATTTATAATAAATTTATCGCCTCTTTGTACAGTCACCAATTGCTTGTACATATACAGGGCTCAAATTTCTGAGGCACCCTTTACTATTTTCATGTTTGTGTGTATGGTATACAACAAATACAACTCTTGTGTATGCATAAAAAAAAATGGACACTTTGGATGCGGTCCCTAGTTATCAATATTCTTTGATTGAAATCTTGTTTGTTTTTAGTTTTTGATTGAGGTCCCTAACATTAATGTAATAATGTAAGTTACTATATTTTTTTAACTAAAAATTAAAAATTGAAATTTGTAATTGTTTATATTAATGAGATTTTAAATAAAATCCATAATTTATGGGATTAAAAATAATAAAATATAAATTATACTCTCTATTATATTTTGTGTGTGTGTGTGTGTGTACATATATGTATGGGTACATTAACCAAAATTAACAAAAAAAGTTATTGTACCAAAATATGGATACATTCTCAAATCAACGAAAAAGAATGTACCCATATAAGTTTAAACATGGATTAAAAATTTTGAATGGATTTTATATTAAAAAAAGGGTGCATTTTACATATAACAAATTGATATATTTGAGAATAGGTACATTTAAGATTAAAAAATTTGAAAAATTATATGAATGGGTACATTTAAGATTAAAAAATTGAGAATCTTTTTATATATAAAAAAAAACTAATAGGTACAAACTTAATTTAATTTAAATTTTTATTATTTTGAAAATGTTTGAATTGAAAATTAATTAGAAGTTTAATAGAGGTGTGAGTATTAAACCCTAAATTAATTACTAATTTTTATATTAAAAAATTATATAATAAACATGTAAATTCATTATCACATTAATGCTAGGGACTTGAATCAAAATTTGAAAACTAATAAGGTCTTAGTCAATAAACAGTAAAAATTAGGGACTGGATACTAATTTTTTCAAAAAAAAAACTGGCCTATATGAAGCTGATGAAGAATTAGAGGGATGAACGAGAAACGAGATGGACGCTATACTGCAATGGCAAGACGGGTTTCTAGATTTCCGGTTGAGACATTAGATCATCTTCTCGAATGTATCAAGTTTGTTCACCCTCTGCATAGACCTAGCTAACAGCGTGAAGAAGATTCCTGCAAAGTGTCGAAAGCTTTGATGAATGCAACGAAATGGACTGGAAACTGGAAAAATATGTAAAACCTCATATCTCTCTCATTTTTGCACCAAATTTCACGAAAGTTTCACCAAAGTGAAGCTTACAACACAAGGAACAAAACCTTACCAATTTTGGGACCTGAAATCCTCGAGAATTCGTCGGAGATCCTTCGATAATCCGGCCAAACTTTGAACTCGTCGATCTCGACTTCCTGACATCAAATTCACCTCGTTTTTCTTCTCCGAGCTTCGTGGAGAAGTCCTAAAGTTTCATAGAAGCTCAAAAACCACTGAAACCTTCACATTTACGTGTGCATGAACATTGCACCAAACTGGGTATCTCGGGTTCTTGGGAAAACGAGGGTTTCACGTCCAAAGAAAGATATGGTTGTGATCCTTAGCTTGCCAAGAACTCAAAGACACCAACTTTAGCCTCAATCCATGAGTGGTCAAGGGGTTTTGAAACTGGTCCCTACGTTGTACGGAAAATTGAAAAGAGTGTCAACGGGAGAGAGGGAGAGTGTGTGTCCATGTGGGTCACCAACCAAAACCCACAAACTAAGTCCCTTTTTTTTTTCCCTTAGTTCTAAAAACTTAGGAAAATAACGGATAGATCCAAAACCTAAGTACACAATACACACAACACACTTTAACGTCCAAGGGTATTTTAGTAACTTTCACATTCAAGACCAATAATATTACAAAATTCCGGGACGGGCTGTCACATGCATAAATAATAGTTTGCACACATTTAGGACAAAACTAATGAAATTTGGGTAGCTAATAGTTCATTGTTGCCGTGCATTTTGATGGAAAGGATAATGCTATTCACGAGCCTATATTTACCTTCCACACACTTTTGATAATTTTTTGCAGTTCATCTTCTTTAATTTATTCGTTTTAACGATTGAAATTTGAGAGAGAGATATGTGTAAAGTAAAAATATGCATAAGGATAGCACCACGCATATATGAAATGCTAAACATTGCAAAATTTGGGGGATGAAGAAAGATTGGGTAAAAGTTCACCAACCACCAAATTATATTACATAGTTTGTGCAACCCTTGTTGACTACAATAATTCAAATGTCGTTTGTCCCTTTTCTGCAACTTTTACTTCAGCCAGCACTGACGTGCTGCCTTTTAGGTCGTTGAAAGTATGGTTGCTCTAAGCCAAAAATCAAAATGCCACTTGGTCCACTCAACACATTACGCTTGTATGCTATAGATTTCTCTAACTTATGGAGCGTAGCCAATAGTTCAAAATATCGTAGTCGAAGTTGATATTGACATTTTAAAATTATCGTCATATATTTTTGCATGTGCATTTTCTCTTTTGTGCTTTTACAAGCAATGAGTGTTGTATCATGAAATTTTTGAATTGTCAATAAAATTCTTAAAAAGTAAAAATAAAAATATTTCTTTTCGCTCATATTATTAATCTAATATACCACGTTATCAGAATGAAATTCTTATATGTTATATTTGTTAGATTGTTGATCTGAACCGGTATAAAATATTGTGGAGTAAAAAATAATTTAAAAAATTATGGAGCTGACATGTAAGCTTTTATTGCAGGACATGATAATGCCTCATTAAATTGATGAGGCCCACATCTATTCCATACACAATTCAACCTTCAAGAAGACTTGAGTTGCTGAATACGACTTCTCCAAACTCTTATGCCCATGGCCAAGAAAAAAAGTTGTATTAAAGATAGGATTAGTAACCAAATCATATCTTTGAAGCTTTCCTTATTGAAGGCTAACATAATTAAGCAAGAAATCACCCTCAAATCCAATCAAGAATTTCTTGGGATAATTCAAAGATATTATTAATTAAATAATATCTTCAGGATTATTTCTCAATTATATTTAAGATATTCTAGCATCTTAAAGATACTTTCCTACTGCATCTAAGGGATGACACATCTTAGCCAACTAAACATACACATTGCATGGCAATCCCTACAAAGTTCTTGTATTTAATATTTCTAAAATTAAAAAATTAAAAATTAAAAAAAGTTATAATAAATTTGTCGCCTCTTTGTACAGTCACCAATTGCTTATACATATACAGGGCACAGATTTCTGAGGCACTCTTTACTATTTTCATGTTTGTGTGTATGGTATACAACGCATACAACTCTTGTGTATGCATCCAAAAAAAAAAAAAAACCGGCCTATATGAAGCTGATGAAGAATTAGAGGGACGAACGAGAAACGAGATGGACGCTGTACTGCAATGGCAAGACGAGTTTCTAGATTTTCGGTTGAGACATTATATCATCTTCTCGAATTTATCAAGTTTGTTCACCCTCTGCATAGACCTAGCTAACAGCGTGAAGAAGATTCCTGCGAAGTGTCGAAAGCTTTGATGAATGCAACGAAATGGACAGGAAGGTGTGTTTATATCAAAGTTTTCTTGAGTAACAAGTTACCTGCGCCGATGAATGATCCATTTGCGAAAGCTTGGCTGCCTTGACTGCTCAAAGTGACCCCGAGGTTCACCAGGGTACCTCCCAAGACTGTATACATCGTCGCCATCTGTAGTATTGTTGCTTTTCGTGCAGCTCTTTCCGACTGCCAAAATGTAGTTTTACTCATGTTAATTGAACTTGTGCAGTTGTGTTTGTATACATAAAAGTTAAGATTGCATACCTCAAGTACCCGGACTCGGAGTTTCAGATCCCCTGATTCGAGCTCTTTCACAAACTCCTCTATTCGCTGAACTCTGTATGGCATCGACATGGTATAGCTTCTAGCCTAAAGTTACATGCACAAGAACGCTTAGTGCCAATAGGCCCAATACTGAGAAACATGTTGGTTTTTACTATTTTCCTGAACTAGAAATCGAACGAAGCAAATTTATTTGCTTAACAGAAACAAGAACAAGGAACTAAAGGAAGGAAAGAGAGTTAGGTTGCAGTACGTCATCGGCTTGCTTCCTTATATCGTTTACAAGCTGTGTCCCCGTACGCTGCTTCTGTCTTAAATCTAAAAGCTCCTGCATATAGCGTATAATATCAGCGATGTACTTCCAAACCATTGCTAAGGAACACACGAAATGGTCACGCGCAAATAGTAACTTATAGTTGTTAACCTGAGCATAAGGTGCAGCAATCTTCACGAAGGAAAAATCTTTATCGAGAATATAGCCTATACCTGAAACACATATTAACTTATGCTTATCAGATAATGTCATTGGACCGAAAACAAAATTCATTTTAACTCGGGAGAATATAGAATCAAGATTGAAAAGTTTTAATGTTGTACCTTCCAGGGTTGAGAATGCCCTTAAGACAAAAGTAAACGTGGATGGAAATCGGAATGGCTGATCTAGTGCTATTGCAAATAAATCCTGTGATTAAGAAAAGCCCTGTCACCAACTTTAGATTAAAAACAGAAAATTTAGAACGAAAAGATAAAATGACTCGACATCTTCATCAGCTCAAAACACATGTAACCATCACCAGGACATCGTTTTGTAACTGAATTGCAGTCAATCTCATTGTCTGGTAGAAGAACCCGTTTCCACTGTTTCCCCCTTTTTCTAGCCCTTTTTATAAGAGCTAAAACCAGTAGCTTGGTTAGCCATGGTGCTACTGGGCATCTTCTTTAATAGCACGCAATCGTGTACACAATCGAGACAGGTTAACAAGTAAAAAACAGTATATGCATACCTCCCCAATTGCAGAAAACGTCTGCGACTGATCTGGTGTCTGGCTTAACAAATTGTCCAAAAAGTATTGAACGGATCTCCGTACCTAGAGATTGGGGGAAGAAAGCGTAAGACAGAGCACTAAATGTTTCTGAAAATCACTCTCTCAAGTGACTTCTCCCTTTAAAACATATAATGAGTACTGGGATGGTGCATACAGATGACAAATCTCCGGTAGGCTGAAGTGCTCCGAGATCAATGAGGCATCGCATAACCTGCGAGTGGCTTTTGTGAGATTAAACCTTTGCAGCAAGGCCAGACATGACGATATATTTTGTGTTCCTAATGAATTCAAATGCATGATTCAGGGCCATCCTAATGCTTAATAAGCAAAGTGAAAATGAATAGTTAATACACTTTCTACAAAAATAATAGATGATTAGTGTTTATATTTTAATCGGTTTCCTTCAGATTATGGCATAGAAAGCACACCTTTTTTGCATCTTTCTCGTATACAGAATAGAAAAGTTCAAGCAGTCTCTCCCGGGTGAAAGATTTAATATCTCCCATCATACCAAAATCATAATAGATCAGCGTTTCATCCACGTCAATGGCAAGATTTCCTGGATGAGGATCAGCATGGAAGAAACCGGTTTTGAGTATCTGCATGAATAGCAAAGTCCAGCTAATCAAACACTTAGCTAAGATAGTTAACTGTGAATTATGGTAATCAAAACAAAACAGACACAGTCAAGGAATAGATGCATCCATTCAGTACAAAATAGTCATCGCATTCATGTCAAGAAGAGCGTAGTCATGTCAGCTGGTTGATAGAAGAATGCATTTCCTGACCTGGATCAGGTATGCTTCAATAGCGCGTGATGAAATTTGAGCACGATTAAAACCCTGTGAATCTAGCATATCTAGCCGATTTATCTTAATGCCTGAAACAGAAGAAAGACTTCTCATCAAGGATTACCAACAAAAGAAAATTGACACTGGACCACATTAATCTACTGAGTGATTTTTATGAAAAACACAAGATCTGGACAAAACAAAAACATTAGTATAGAGTGAAACCTGGTACATACTCCAATGTCAACACCTTCATGGCGGTATAATCCCAAAAGACATTCTACAAAAGGGAAAGAAACATCGTCAAGATATAACTCAGAAAGACAGTACAAAGAGTGCAGTTTTAATTGTTGTAGCTCTGTGGCAAGAAACATACAGGTACTCGAACCCACTTTATATTGCGAAAGTCCCTGCGAAACCTGTCAGCATTCTTCCCTTCATTTATATAATCAATTTCTTGATACAAAATCCTGCAATCCATGAAGGCCAGAAATAATTCGAAGCATCAGAACTCGCATTATATGTAGATATGAAATTTCAATATATGGTTAACACAGCAACTAAGAAATGCATGTTGCATACGTGGCACATTCTTCATAAATACCGATCCAGTCTCTTGTTGGACCACCAAGGGTTTCACTGTTTTGGAAATACTCGGCAATTAGCTTCAAATTTTCTGGCAGTAAGAAGAAATAGGTTAGAGATATAACTAAAACTACTAAGTTCAAATTAGTGATATCAAACATCATCTAAAAAGTATGAGATACATGTCAGGCTTGTCAGCCTAGCTTTATATCCAACGTATGTACTTACTTAAATCAATGTCAAAAAGCTTCTTGAGACCGGGCCTTTGAACTTTCACAACAACTTTCTCTCCGTTATGCAAGATAGCACGATGGACCTAAAGACACAACTCATCAATATCCAAACAAGGAAAAGTGCGTGCAATCATCTCGAATAAAAATTTCATATAGGTATTATGTGGAGGAGAAAATGAATATGTTCTTTTGACATTAATATAATTAAACTCAAATTCTGTGTTGTTTGATGTTTTAAGAATTCAAACATTGCAGCCCGACATCGTATAATGAAAACTAGTTAAGAACTAAGCACCTGACCAAGGCTAGCAGCAGCAATTGGCCGGTCCTCAAACTCCTTGAACAATACGTTGATGGGAGCTCCCAGTTCAGTCTCAATAAAGGCTCTTGCTTTTGCTGGTGAGAAGGCCGGCACCCTATCCTGTATAATTTCATAACAATCACATAAGGAAAAATCAGCAAAATTATCACGAACATTATTATGCAAATGCTGAGAGCCTACTTATAAACTAACATAATAAGTGTTGAAGAAGATAATGCCTATATTATGTACCTGTAACTTGGCGAGCTCGTCCACAAACTCACGCGGAAACAGATCTGATCTTGTCGAAGATAATTGTCCAAGTTTGATAAAAGTTGGGCCAAGCTGCAGTACACGCTCCCGGAGCCATGATGCAGTCTTTCGCCTTCTGTTTTCTGAATGGGAGAGTTTGTACAAAACTTAAAACGGAACAAAAGAAACTAGTCCACAAAACCAACAAACTGAAGGGAGACTTGGCCTGGAATGAGATAAGTTGCAGGGGAAAAAGAGTAGCCACAGAAGAGTCCCAAAACCAACCTGCTTATCTTCTGTGAATCCTCCTACATATGCCCATTTTGCATTGTCCAACATGACACGCACCCGTAATGACAGAACAAATGACCATACATCTGCACTCCTTTGCCAAGAATTGTAATTTTCATTGGCCCAACTGAAGCCCTCATCCGAAGGCAAAACCTTTAGCTCCTCCATCGGGGGAAGTTCTTTAGTTGGTCGGGGTTTTTGAGTCTTAACCAAGCCCGGACTAGCATTTCTTCTAACTATACTTGCTCCATTAACAACCTGCTTTGTGCCATTCACTACCTCAACCTTATTTTTGGATGGGGATACCTCACTAGCTGGTATTTTCACAGCTCGTCCATTGACTCCCAATCTTGAGGATGAATCAGCCTGTCGCATTTGCACTTGAAACTTAAGAGACTGATCAGTACGAGGTATATTACTTGTCGGTCTCCCAGACTTAAGGGATTCATGAACTGAAACTGAACTTGAGAAACCAAGACCATCTGCTGTTTTCCCTTGATTTATCAGTTCCACATTGTGCCAATAGCATCTGTTTGTCGCAAGTACTGCAGCCATCTATGAATGCAGATACCTGCAGAACACAATGAAAATATAAACATGAACAATATTGTGAATTTGTAAAGTGCACAGATCCCAATTTGGCAATGAAGCAAAACAACATACAGATCTTCCTCAAAGCACAAATGAAAACCGAACCCGAAAAACATGAACATATATAATCATCAAGAGATAAATTTGGATCTGAAGATCCTTAGATAATGATAATGCTAATAGTTGTAAACCCTAACTAAATCAAGAGAACTGAATAAACTTAATCAGATGTACAGTTGAATTCAATCAAAACTGAAACAGCTTTGAAAACAAGGACAAGTGAGTCTCATATAAAACTCTTCACATTTTAATAATTTGATTACTGAAAACCAATTAAATCAACTCATCACTGTCAGAAACTGCAAGAAAGAACTAAAACAAAAAAAATTTGACATCTTTATACTTTGCATTTCCTTTGTTCTTCAAGCTTCACAAGAAATACATTGAAGTCAACTCCTCAACCAAAACAACAAAAAGCACAGAACTTTCTAATTACCATTTACTTTCCTCACAAACCAAAGAGAACCCAGATAAAAGCATCAAAAGTACTTACTCGGTAAGCAGTTAAACCAGAATCAGAACTCCAAATCCCTTCAGAACCGTTGAAATTTGAAAGTGCAGCTGCGGAGCAAAAACTTGATGGGGTTTTGACAGAAGAGAAAAACCAGTCAACAAGCACAGAACTATATTAGAAAAATGAAATGGAGAGGAGAAATTGGGAGGTATAAGGAAGAACAAAGAACGTGGGCGTAGTCCAAGTGATGAGGCGTGTCAGAGTTCCCAATTCTCTGCGTTTAAGTCACAGTGCTTGGTTTTTTGTTCTGGGACATTTGAGAGAATTGAGGTTAACGACAAAACTGGGAAAATAAGGATCTTCGTCCCTTCAACTGGCGCCATTCAGTTGGTTGGTGCGTGTTGGACTTCCTAACATTTGGCTTCTCCTATGGCGTGGCAGTTTGTCTCTCTGGTATTTTCTGATTGGCTCTGCTCTCTTACTCCAAAGAGAGAAAAAAAACAGAAAAATATCCGACACAAGTTTATGTGAGGAGTGAGGATTTTGCTTTGCTTGTGAAACCTAGTCCCAACCAAGGTATTAAATATCGATGATATCGGAAATATCGGTAGTAAAAAAATACGGAAATTTCGATGGAAATATCGGGATATTATCAATATCGATAAAAATTGAATAAAAACCACGGAAATTGTAAGAAAAACTTGGAAATTTTTATTGAAACTTTGCAGGATGTTTATTTAGTCAATTATCTATTAGTTTATCACAAAAAATTGGAAGGAAATGCATTGCATGATAGATATAACTGATTTAAGTTGATTATATAGCGAGCTGGCAAACATTGTGAGCGTAGAAAATATGTAGTAATTAATGAAAGAAGTTTAAACACACCATAATCATTTATATATAATGAATTAGTACAATATTTTACACTTTATACAGTAAGATACATGAGTGACTTAGCAAGGTTTAAAATATCGATGATATCGGAAATATCGGTAGTCTAAAAAAATATCGATAGTCCAAAAACACGGAAATTTCGATGGAAATATCGGGATATTATGGATATTTTAGACCATGGTCCCAACCAATACGACTAATGTTCATGTGGTCATTTCAATTTTTAGTTTTGCTAAAGATTAAACTTTGTATCATATAGGAACATATCCAATCATACTATTTAACGCGAACATATTAATTATATATTGATGATACAATGACGACATAATATCAATACAATGATGATAATAACGACATAATAAACACTGATTATTTTTGTAACAAATTGTCAAAAAAAAAAATTTGAGCAAAACCTGGCAATATTTTACCAAAAAAAATTTAGCTTCGCGAAACATATGCTAATCACCGCATTCTTTCTAAGTAACAAAACGCACAACCTTATTTCTTGAACAAATTACATGGTTATAGCCTTGAATAAATACAATTAATTTTCAATTAGGGGATAGGTTGTCAATGATCGTGACATTTAGTTTTCATTTTGTCAATAAGGTTTTGAGTTCAATGAAGCATTTCGATCACATAATTAGCTACAAATCGTTTCTCAATAAGGAAAGAAATTGGAACACTGAGATGTTTGTTTTGAAGTTGTAGAGATCCAAACGGAACACGACTTGAAAAATTGGGGTGCTGGGTAGTGGGGATGGGTTGACCACCCCGCATTTGCTGGTTTTGGATTCTCTCATTTGTGACTTGTGAGCTGTGATTTTGTATTAGACCAATCATCACTTCTATATTATTTCTTAACCTAATTACCCACCTAACTTGCCACAACTTCTAGTCTCGAGTTTTATTTGATTTGAGCCAAATTTGTTTTTATTTCCTTTTGGTGACATAATTTTGTTTTATTTAGTGACAATTAACATATAAACAACGATAGGCCCTTTAAAGAAATCGATCTTCACTTTTTTTTTATTAAAAAAAAAAAGAGATTGGTTGTTGGACACACTCCACATCAAAATTCAACGATTCGAATTTTTTATTTTGTAAGTCTCAACTCATAGATCATTTTTACAAAAATTCAATTCAATCCGAAAACATTTTCCCATTTAATTGTCACGATAAAATTTAATGTTTTTCAGAATATAGTGTTCGCCAATTTCTTTGAACTTAATTAGATGCCTCAAATATTTTGTAAGGATGATCTATAAGATGTAACTTGAAAAATAGATGGTTCGGATCGTTGAAATCCGATGTGGTATGACGCCCACAACAAGTGACGGATTCAGGATTTTAACATCGAGTGGTTCCAATTTTAAAGCTCAAGAAAAAGAAAAAGACCAAAATGACATTGAAAAAATAAACTACAAACTACAACTTTTTATTCATAATCTTTGTGAAAACAACATTACAAGTTTTCCCTAAAAAAAAAAAAATTACAAGTTACAAAGATTAAATTTGTCCACGAAAAGTTTTCATACTCTGAAAACGTGTCATGATAGTTTCATTGTCAATACAATACAAGAAAAAACATATTTCTCAATGTAAACAACTAAGCTATTATTGGACCATTGATCTTTCATTTTGTTGCAGAGTGGATTTTTTTTTTTTAAGAGAAATGCTAAAGAGACTCTCAAAAGTAGAACGGCCACATTATGTTTTTTTGCACAATGTTAACCTTATGTTTTTTGCACAATGATTTATAATGTTGACACGAAAACTAACATTAAACTATGAGGTGGCAGAGAGTCCATAGAGATCCCATTTTGAGACAATCTCGTTAACATTTTTTTTTCTTGAACAAACGATATTATCTACAGTAAGGAGAAAGAATGTGGGCTTAACTTTACAATGAGCTAACAATAATGTGGTTCAAATTCGACGATCTAAGATCTTTCGCTTACAAGTGAAGAGTAATTAAATACTTTGAATTTGGATTAAAAATGGTGCTGCTGCTAAATGCTCTTTCACGTGGGAAATGAGATTGAGTTGGAATTGGTGCAATGTTAACTTTACTCAAAAGTCATTTCGCTTTTATTTATTTATTTTATTTTTATTTTTGGAAACTGGGAATAACATTACCAGGGCAAATATGTCAAAACAATACAAGGAAGCCTACACCGAGGCAAGCAACAACTTACTAACAAAAAAACCAAGCAGCAAAGGAGGTTAAGGAGGATGCTAAAACCGAGTTCGAGCATCGCCCCCTCCACTGCCATAAAAGATTAAGGGGGACAAGGCAAACCATCCTTATCTAAAACAAAAACCAACGAAGATGGACATCTCCGTATTGCTATGCGATGCTAACCTGTCCGCCGCCAAATTGGCTGGTATTGGGACCCAAGATCAGCGACAACCCTCGAAAGAGTCCCCTAACCTCAAAACTTTCGCCAAGTTAGGAAAGGTTTCCCATCTGCCAGTTTCCAATGAAGTTGATAAGGAAGAAATTCACTCCTTAGAATCAGATTCAACTATCACCCATTAGTGGCCCAAAGCAATAGCCAACTCACATCCCTGCATAATAGCTATAGCCTCTGCCGTTGCCACATGAGGAGCCTTGATTGCATACCGAGCCGTAGCCACAAACTTTGTATCATATAGGAGCATATCCAATCATACTATTTAATGCGAACATATTGACGACATAATGACACACCCCGATCGAGGTCAAGGCATGCTGGCCGTCACGTGAGAGTGACGTAGCCATGTGCACAGTATGGAAGCGATAAAGATAGCAAATATACGAATAATTAAAAAACACATTTCTAGAGTGCACTACTAGCAGGAAGTGATAGGAGTTAGTTACAACCGTAAACACTCCTAATCAGAGCATAATAAGTCTAGATGCAGTCCAGTAGGACAAGTACTAGTTACACAGTACCAGGAATGTCCTACTATTAATCAATTAGGTCAGAACTGCTGACGATCCCGAGCCACCAACAACAAGCTTACTTAAAACCTGGAGGGGTGCAAAACAGAAAAAGTGAGTGGGCAAAAACAAATGTTTTACAAAATCATTTCATTTATCAATATACTAACCCATCGCTGTAAAACATGTATAATTTTGCCAGAATCAAGATATAAGCGCATATATATATATATATATATATATATATATATATATATATATATATATATATATATGAAATCATATCAATTCAGTTCATGCTTCACATAATCATAGTCATATGTATGTCATGCCAAAATATAACAAGGTAAACAATCTAGGTAAGAATAATTTCATAGAAATATGATATGTTAGCCGGAACTCTTGTGGTAGTCTGTACGGCTGAATTCATAGCTCAAACTCGATCTAGTCGGAGTCACTACTATGACCTATATGGTAATATACTGCACATAAGTCGGAACCATTGAAAAGGGGTCTGTACGACAAGATCAGGTGAAATATAATTATGCTCAATTCTATTCTCTCATAATAGCCGGGCGATAAATCGCTAGTCACCTACGAGTCGAAACCATAATTAAGGTCTATACGACAAGACTGTGCACTTAAGTTGGATCCAATATGAGCATATAGTGCGGGAGGTGACGTAAATAAACAGGCATGTACTTCACATCTCTGGCTAAATCACAATCACCCTAGGTGCAGTTTTATGAGCTCAACATTATTCGATCACATATCATATCATCGATGATTCATATAACCAAACATAAGTTACCTGAACTTACTTGTGCCTCCACAGCACCACACACACACATATATATATATATATATATATATATATATATATATATATGCAACCATGAAATGCATATTCAGAATATAACAGCATTTGACATATTATTTCAAAGCATACTTTCCTAAAAATGCATTTCTAGGAAATATATCAAGTATATAAATATATACTGAAAACAAAAGTCCACTCACTGATATGTCGACGGGTCGTAACCCCTGAGTCGCCCCTAGATACGCTCGTCCTCGGGATAAGTCTCACCTATATGCGAATTAACTATAAAAACGTTATTTTAAAGCACATAGATAAAACTAGCTAATAACTTCTCATACATTGCTCAAAATGGGTATATGAATATACCACAATGATCTACACAACCTCAAGATCATCCCCATATTTTTGGACCTCCCACGCGCTGCCACGCGCCTGCAGGTGCACGGTAAGACGCACCACCACGCACAGGGAATCCTGCGGATTCCCTAACTGCCGTTAGGAATATTCCTTGAAATATTTCGTTAAAACCCAACGGAAACCGTCCAAACTAACTGACGCTGTGAGAATATTCCGTCAGACTTGACGGAATATTCTTCCATCTCCTACCTCCAGCTCCGGCAACCGTCGTCGGTGCCAGAAACTGGGCAATTTTTCAAACTCCTTAATCTCGCTCATTTCTTCACCATTTTTCATGCAATTTATACCAAAATGAATCTAGGGACATCTACAATCACGTTATACCATTTTAAAGCTCTAAAAGTCATGGGATCTCATCGGAGAA